TGGGGGAGAAAGTTTGGGGGTGAGGGGAGGGAGAGGGAGAAGGGACTTGAAATAAGCTTGTTCCCTAACTAGAACTAATAAAATAAAATAAAATTAAAAAAAAAAATAAAGCTACATTCAGAGTTCAAATACTCAGAATGTTCAATGGGATTATGAAAATATAGTACACAGATTGACATAATGACTTTTATTCTTACCATAAACATACAGCAATCAAAATGAGTACAATACTTGGAAAAGAATAAGGATGATAGAGAGAAAAAGCCAAGAACAAAGGTCAGAAAATATAGTCGACTACTAATCAAAAGAACAAAAGAAACTTATCCATGAAAAGTGTGATGTTATCCAGGTACCTATGAATTTTCATGTAAAAAATAAATAAAAATAAATAAAAACAAGCTTCAAAGCTCCAATTAAATTAACTCAAAGTGACCCTTAAACTGTTGTTTCTGACCATCAAACTACTGATATTTCTTCCAAACAAAGATACCCCATGCTCTAGAGCTCTCTCTACAAAAGGAGGAGACTTCAATCTATGTCTCTGTGTACCTTAATGCCTTCTGTGGTTTCAGGTAAACCCAGGCCCACTAATGCCCAATCCCAAAACCACATGAAAGAATAATTTAAAATCTGCTTCCTGACAAATGGATTATGACTCAAGAAGTGTATCCTGACCTAACTCCCTGCCCAACACCATACACACCTGAGATATCTCTGCAGACCACAAACAACTTTTGTCCCCTGGAGCTAAACAGCACTGAATCACACTATTGTGGCTGGTGGTAGCAGAAATTAGAAAGCATTTTAATTATGTATTTCTGAAAGACAATCAATGTCACCATCTTTCTACCATTTTCTAAATCATTTGTAATATTTATGACAAAAAGCTGAAAGTGGAATTCAATATTGAGAATTTCTGGAAACCACACTGTCTGTGCTCCCACTGCACACCAAAAGTGTTACCTGTGTGCACACACTGGACAGTGATATTACAGGCATCATATCCTCCTGTGCCAGAGCTGGAGAGTCTCCTTCTGTCCAAGAAATCCACATACAGGGAGGCTCAGAGGACAAGGACAACTTCCAAGGTCACCATGTGGACCAAGAGAACCACAGTCTGTTTTATGGTACACACAAATTCCAGCAGAAATGAGAGCTATACAGAGTTGCTCTAAACACCCTAGAGTCACCATGGTATAGATTGTGTTCTTCCTTAAAACTCCCTAGGGCAGAATGAGAGGGGAATCCTAGGAAAAATTGCAAGCTACCTGCCACCAGTACTCCTAACTGCTAAACCTTCGAAGAGTCCCTGGTGGGTCAGGACCATGCAGATAGGCCTAGAATGTTAGCAGTCCCCCTTCCAGGTGATCAGAGTTCAAATGACACAGATAGCATAGTCCTTCCAGCTCTGCCCTTCCAGCCCAGAAGACAAGCACCTAAGCAAGAAAGTTTGTATTTTATTAGACATTCTTCCACTCTCCTGGAACATATCATCTCCTTGTGCAAAGCACAGGGTGTTTTTTTGTGCACATTCCATTATACAATCAATGTACAGTGCCACCAACCCTTAACCTCATAGCTGGGAAATACTGAAGCCAACTGTATGTCACATTCAAATGTTAACTGTTGTTACTGTGTAAGTGTTGTTTAAGAAAAACAGTCCATTAATTAGAAAACAATGAGGAGTCATGGTAGGGCTTGGAGACAGGAAAGAGAAAGTGGATATGATGTTGTTATGATCTGAAAAAAATTACTTTGAAAACTTGAAAAGAGCTTTATAGCCATGTGCTCTAGAGAGTAGGGATTCCTCTTGGAGCACAGCAAGGATGTCTCAAACCTTTTCTCTCAGACTTACATCTAAACCCAGAAAAATAATTGTCCTCTTAGACAGGGCATAACAGTTTACCCAGATTTATTTTTGTTTAGCTATTGTTACTATAGCAATTTGTTTTCAAGATAAAGTCTGTCCTTTATCCAGTTTCTTTTGTTTTTTAGTATGAACAACATTTATTCAATTTTGCATAGAGCTTCATAGATCGATCACAGCCAATGCTGGACTCCCCATTGTTACCACCTAACTCCTTACCAAATGAGAATAAAAAGGTGTCCATAGTAACTTATTTGGTGGGATGGGACTCTTTTGCCAAGGGAATTGTCATCTTGACATGACATGAGGGAAGGGTCCATTTGCTTGACTAAGATCTTCAGGCAACAGAGCAACCACAGCTACACACAGCTTTGTGTTGTAGGGTCTTATTCCTGCTTGGCTCAGCCACAGCCTCCTCAGCCCTCTGAATCTCATGGACAACCAGAGCAAAGGCTTCCTCTACACCTTGCCGTGTCTTAGCTGAGGTCTTCACGAAGGGGACTTCCCACTTATTAGCCAGGATTGCTGCAGCAGTGTGAGTATCTCCAGCAGTCACTAGATCACATTTGTTGCCCATGAGTACCAGGGGCAACCGCTGCTTCTGGTGTGGGCTGCAGGTGGACCATATCTGCTGCAGCTGGTCCAGAGTCGAGGGGTCATGAAGAGCAAAGAAACCCAGCACACCATCACCAGCTGCTAAGCACTGGTCACGCAGGGCCCTGAGGATATCCTACCCTGCCGTGTACAGCACATTCAGAATGTATCCACTATTGTCTAGGGCCACCTCCTTCCAGTAGCAATCCTGGATAGTGGGCTCATTTACTTTCACAAAGCAGTGGTCGTCTGAATAGTGAGAGCACTTTTACCAAAACCACTTGCACCCACTACCTTGTACTCAGGAAGATGCCTGCCAGTATCTTTGCATTGTGTACAAGCCTCATGGCTTTCCTCTGGGGATCTGGTGCACTGTGTTTTGAGGCTCAGGTCCAAGATGCTAGATATTGTTGGCAACGCCATTCCGCAACAGTCAGCTCAAGGGAGAGATGTTTCAAACAGGCAATGTTTCCCTGGATAGGTGGTCCGCTGAGGGGCTGCAGGTGGCTTTTTATCCAGTTTCTTCATTACTTTCATCTGGCTGTCACAGGAACTCAAGACAATCAGGAGAGAAATGTAGGAACCGGATCACAAACAAGATAATAGGTCTTTCTCCCATCAGAAGGCTAGATGGGAGAAACACAAACTCTAGTGTTATAGGAGTTTCATTTTTTTTTTTTTTTTTTGGCTTCACTTCTCTTCATGGCTGAGGTCTTTGAAGAGGTCGCTGCCACAAGTTTGTGAACTTTCTGTTGTTTCTGTTGTTATTGACATCATCCAACTTTAATCCATGGTGGCTTAATAGGATACAGGAAGTTACTTCAGTTTTTTAGTACCTGTTGAGACTGGCTTTGTGTCTGAGTATGTGGTCATGTTTGGAGATATTTCCCTGAGGTGCTGAGAAAAAGGTACCTTCTTTGTGTTTGGGTGAAATGTTCTGTAAATATCTGTAAGATACATTTGGTTTATATAACATGTTAGTCACAGTGTTAGTCTGTTTAGTTTTTGTCTAGATGACAGTCCATTGGGAATAGTTGGGTATTGAAGTCTTCCACTGTCAGTATGTGAGGGTCAATATGAAGCAAACTGTAGTAGAGTTTTTTCATTGTTGCTGCTTTTGTTTGTTTTGATTTTTATAAACTTAGATGTCCTGTGTCTGAGGCCTTGCTGCTAAGATTTGAAATGTTATCTTGGTTCAGTTTTTTAAATGAGTATGTAGTTTTCTTTCACAAATCTTTTGATTAGTTTTGTTGTGAAATCTATTTTGTTGGATATTAAAATGGATACATAAGCTTGCTTCTTAGGTACATTTGCTTTGAATATCTTTTTCCAACCTTTTATGCTAAGGTAATATCTGTCCTTGACATTGAGGTATATTGTTTTGAATGCTACCTAAGGATGGAAACTGTTTTCATCCATTCTCTTAATCTGTGCCTTTTTACTGGGGAATTGAGAACATTGATTTTGATATATATCAATGACCAATGATTGTTGATTCCTGTTATGTTTATGATGTTGTTAATGGTATTGGAAGTGGTCATGAGGGTGTGTGTGTGTGTGTGTGTGTGTGTGTGTGTGTGTGTGTGTGTGTGTGTTTCCTTCTTTTGATTATTCTGGTATGAGGTCAATCATTTCCTGTGTTTTCACAGGCATAGTTATCCTCCTTAGATTGTAGCTTTCCTTCTAGTACCTTCTTTAGGGCTGGATTTGTAGATAAATATTTTTAAATGTAACTTTATTATGAATTATCTTATGTTTGCCATCTTTGGTGATTGAAAGTTTTGCTTGTGATGTTATTCTTGGCTGGCAACTTTGGTCTCTCTAGAGTCTGCAGCACTTCTATCCAGGCCTTCCTGGCTTTTAGAGTGTCCATTGAGAAATTTGGTTTAATTCCAAATAGGTCTGCCTTGTATCTTTTGATATTCTTTATTTCTTCTGTATGTTTAGTGTTTTAATTGCTATTGGTACAGTTTGTGATATCCAGATACTTATGATTTGGGGGCCATTCACTAGAACCTGATCCATCTACTAACAGCCAAAACCTTTAATGAAAAACTTAGTCTGTGCTTCTGGTAGCCATCAATTGCCTACAGCTCCATAGTTGGCATGGGGCTCATGATTGCTCTCCCACTCAATGCTTGTAATAACAGGTTTCCAAGTCCTTCTCCAAACATCTTTAAAGCTATATACCTCTTGCCAAATCTTACCATTTTGTCACTCTCCCATCATGCTTCTTACTTAAAACTTTCCCTCCTTTATTCCTCTTTTCTTTTTCACGTATGTGTTTCTTTCAGCATATTCACAATAATGGCAAGAATTCAGACAGAGAGTTTAGGAGAAACCCTGTGATATAAAGTAACAAACAGACATGCCTGTGCATTCAAGTAAACATTTTATATTTGATAGCCAAAATTTTTTATAGAGAATATTATTTAGACTTCAAAATTTGAAATCACGTCTTTTATAATATATTTAACATTCTTTTCACATTTACTTATCCATATTCATGTTTTTGTGTGTGTTTATATGCACATGTGCACATGAAAGTCAAAAGACAACATGTAAAAGTCTGTACTTTCCTATTACCATGTGGATTAAGGGTATCAAACTTAGGTTGTCAGATTTTACACAAAGTGCATAGTATCTGAACCAAGTTACCATTCAAACTTTTACATGTATTAACTTGTGGTGATATATTATTTGTGATTTATTAAAGCTTGCCTGTGGATTCAGAAAGCAAATCCAACAACAAGCTATAGAGGTCTGGCAGTAGAGATACACACCTTTAATCTGAGCAATCTTGCTAGCTAGCTGGTAGTGATGGCACATACCTTTAATACCATGACTCAGATGACAGGCAGATGGATCTCTCTGAGTTCAAGGCCATCCTGGCCTGCACAAGAGTAAAGAGTACAGAACTTACACCTTTGATCCCAGCACTTGGAATCACATGCCTTTAATCCCAGAAATAAGAAAAGGAGACAGGATAATATGGCGGAGTGAGACAGGTGTATAAGGAGGAGGAGAAAGAACTGAAGGCTTTTGCTTCTGAGGATTCATGGAGATAGGATTGCCATTTCAGTTGAGTAGAGGCAAGAGCTAGTGGCTTGACTGCTTTGCTTCTCTCATCTTCAGCTTGATGCTTGAACCCCAATATCTGTCTCTGGGCTTTAATTTTTCATGATAATTACATAGAATGGCATTAATGCTTTTTTTAAACAGTAGTAAACATTTTAATATTATGATTATCTAGTTCTATCTTATTCTATTAACAGTCTGTAGATTTATTATAATTTGGAATCATTCATGAACAAGTTGATTTTCAGGTTTCTGAAGAGCCTATTTATTTCTAACTAAAATGTGTCTTAATCTAAAGAGAATGTTGAGTGAAACATATTATCCTGTCTTCATCTCTTAGTTGTGGGAGTAAGGCATGTGATTCCAAGTGCTTTACACCTGGGATCAAAGTTGTAAGTTCTATACTCTTTACTCTTGTGCAGGCTAGGATGGCCTTGAACTTAGAGAGATCCATCTGCCTTTCTCCTGAGTCATGGGATTAAAGGTATGACATTTTCTAGGTCATCTATCTTAGTTTGTTACATATGAAAATGTTCTTCACTTCTAAGTAATGTTAGAAGTTAATGTTAGAAGTTAGAAATGTTAACAAAATACCTTCCAAAAAGCCCAACTATAAAGACTGGGTAAAGAGCAGTAAAATAACTTAATAAATGCTAAAGGTGTTTCTCAAGATGCAATATAGCAAAGAAAACTGCTTTGTACAAAAACTCTTTAGCTGCTGGTGTATTAAAGAGTATTTGCTGAAACAAAGAGGGGATAGATTCATGTCAGGGAGATATTTGTTTAGCCTTCCCGAAGCCTGAAGATAATACAAGAGCCTAAATAAAATCTAAATAAAAACCAAAGCCATTTCTTATATTGCTGCCACAGCAGACTGTCTACACCATATCCAAAAGGCAGGGTAAAAAACTTCTGAAAAGCCAATGAATTCATGGAGAAACCTCTTCAAAACTGTTCAGAGTTCATATGAACACATTTTTAGAATTTAAAAAATGGCAATGATTCAGAACATGATGTATCTGTTGTGTATACCATTCTGGTTTTAATACTCAAATGTCAGTTAAGACAACAAAGGAAGGTCAGGGTTAAGGAGTTTAAGGCATAAATGAGAAAAGTTGTTTTGAATCACAAATCAGCATGACTAGTACATTTTGTAATTACAGGTGTCAAGCAAGCTTCATTTTATCAATTTTCTGTGATATTTATGTAATTCTTATTTTTGAATCTTGACGTAGGATTTTTAAGTTTTAATAGAAATCTTTTTCATTAGAAGAAATAAATATATTCATATCATTCTAATAAAATCCTGCCAATTATGTCATAATATAATATAAGGCATGTGAGTGGCAATAACTATTATTAGCAATGACTACTCATTTTCTGTAAAAATGTCTTTCTTTGATTGAATGTGGTAATTACACACAATTCTCATCGAGAGAAGAAGCACTTACAATGTGAAATAAAGTAAAGAATTTCAGCCTAAAAATGAATGAGAGAAAATGACTTTTAAATCACCCCAAAGCACTGAAATGACTTTTCAGTGTCCACTTCACACAGTATATTGTAAGTTCATTATCACCGAGACATGTGCTCTGCTAATTGCAATATTAACATCTAGGAAATAGTCTTTGGAAATTGATGGTAGGATCCATCTGAAGACTTACTGAGAGAATTTTATTAACAGACAATGTAAATGTAATGGTTTTATGAAGAAGCAATTTCTATGCAGTAATTTAGATAATATTTAAGTCAAAGTTGTAAAATTTTATGGATAAGATGTTTCTAATAAAAACTTATTTTATATTTATTTTTAGATGGTCACATATTTTATTGTACCTTCAATGGGAAAATACAATTCAAATTTTTAAGTATTAACACATACTTTCTCTATGTCAAATAACCATTACAAAGTGCTTCTTAGCTACCAGATATAATATTAAGATGTAATAAAATAAAATACTTACTGAAATACTTTTCTGAGAATATCATAGCATTAAATTTCCTATGTGAATGCCTAAGGTATCAAGTAAAGGTCTAACTTTCTAACATTTATACTGTTACACCAATGCTAACCATATCGCATTCTGAAGTTACTACATTAGCATTAAGTTATCAATTTTATTATCATTTTATCCACTGCTTTCTAGACGATTTATACCATGATCATCTCACACATTTGTTTCCTCTTTGCAGACTATATAGGGAAAACTCAAAGATTCTCTGAACATTCCTTGACTGGCTTTCATAGTATACCGCCTCACAGCAGGTACACTTTTGCAATGCTAATAAAGACAACTAGGTCTGAGTGTTATCCAGAGTATTTCAAAGCTGGGTATTGCCAAAAT